ACACTCTGATCTCCTCATTCCACCACCAGGTCTCTTTGTCCTCCTTTCTCTGCCCAGAGGACATACCTAGCACCTTCCTACCTGTCTCCCTCATCACTGCAGCTGTAGTCTCCCATTCATCTGGGAATATCTCAACACGGCCCAGAACTGCCCTCACTTCCTTCCTGAAGTCCTCACAACATTTCTCTTTCCTTAATTTCCACCACTTGATCTTCTGTTCTGTCTTCACTCTCTTCCTTTTTGTCACCTCCATCGTCATCTTGCACACTACCATGCGATGTTGTTTGGCTACACTCTCGCCTGCCTCTACCTTACAGTCTCTAATCTCCCTCAGATTACCTCTTCTACATAGAATATATATAAAGTCAGGGTGACTCTTGTAAGTCACCCTGTGTTCCTGTTTCTTTTGGAAATAGGTGTTTACCACAGCCATTTCCATTCTCTTCGTGAAATCTACCACTGCCTGTCCTTCTACGTTTCTCTCCCTAACACCAAACCTGCCCATCACTTCCTCATCACCTCTGTTCCCTTCCCCTACATGACCATTAACGTCTGCTCCAATCACCACTCTCTCTCTCACCTGCGGAATCCAGATCATTCCAGAACTTCTCCTTTTCTTCCAACTCACAGCCCACCTGTGGGGCATAACCGCTGACAACTTTCATCATCACTCCTTCTATTTCTACCTTCAAACACCTCAACCTGTCTGACTCTCGTTTTACCTCCACTACATTTCATCTTCTAATTGCATCGTAATAATAAGCGTCTTCTAATTGTGATAACAGAGTTAAAGTTTAACTGTTAAACGTCATTGTTGGCTCCCAGCGTGCTTCAGTTGTGTGCCATCATCTGTGATGCGTTGTGTGGTTTGGCTTTATGAAATCGGTTCGAGCTCAGTAAGCACAACCAGAATTAATACATAAGGCGCACTGTCGATTGAGAAAATTAAAGGCTTTTAAGTGTGCTTTATAGTGCGGAAAAATATGGTAGTTAATTTTCCTTTTCCTTTCCTGGTTGGCTCTGTCTCAGCTCTGTTTCATTCAATGCCTTTTTCCTTCTTTGGTTTAATCGAATGCCACATCAGCTGTCTTAGGCTTTCAAATGGAAGATTTGACAAGTCCATGATGATGATGATGATGATGTGAAAGTGTGTTCCTCTACTATCAAAAGACACTGCAATTTTTTTATGTTGCATACTGTAGGTATACTAGGCTGAAGCCAGAGAGAACATAAATAAAGACAGAGGGCTTCTGCAATAATAAGTATACAATAACATATATAATAAGACATATAAGACTAAAATTCAATTACATGCACCAACTGTAGGAAAATTAAATTAAACATAAACAGTATAATAAGTATATAAAGTTATCAGTGCAGTAAGTGCAATAAGTGCATGTATTCATGTATTTATTAACATTTTAGTGGACTGTTACAACTACTTATGTACTACATATATCATTTTATGACTTGCCTTAGGCTGAATTGTTGAGTGCGTGTGCATTAACCTGTGCTTCCCACTTTCATTCCCACATTCATTGCTACATGCCAAACTGCTGTAGCTCACTGCAACATGGTCAGTGCCTCAAATTGGGAGTGATATTTATCGCGATGCGACACATGAAAAATTCAATTACAATTTGCTTCGGTAGCGAAGAATGGACCACAGCTCCTGTTTATTGAGGCTATCTCTATTATTACTGAATGAGCTAACTTTTGTTTATTTAAGGAGATACTTCTGCTGCTTAGAATTCACAACAGAAAAGGGATGATTTATCAGATTTAAGTATTTTATTATATATATTATTTTATATATATATATACATATATATTATTTGTACAAGGTACTGTTTATGTTTTAAATACACACATATATACTGTATATATATACACATATATATATACATATATATGTATATATGTACATATATATGTATATACATATACTGTATATACACAGTGATCCCTCTCGTATCGCGGTAGTTGCGTTCCGAGACCCACTGCGAAATGGGAAATTTTGCAAAGTTGAGGCGAGATAGTTATTATATTATTTACGTGTATATTTACCCTTTACGAACCTCTCCCGCACTGTTATCAACAGTCGAACAACAACAACAACAGTGCCCTCCTGTGTGCAACCTAAATCATTACCCTACTTTAATTAGACGCT